ATCTGTAAGGGCTAAACTTAATAGAATTGAAAAGCAATTCTAAAGAGCTCCCTAGGCTAACTCTCCCTTTGTGGAGGATGTAACAAGGTCATTATATCTAATTTAGCTCCGAGGTCATTCTGAAACCAATCTGACCCAGTGTAGCCTGGATTGTTTTCTATCTAACAACCCTAAAGTGACTCCAGGGGACGTCAACAGGATGTAGTCACTAGGGAAGTTCAAAGATAATATACTATGGATATCTAGTAATGTCATTAAATAACTTTTTGGGACATACTTGCCTGGGCCCCTCCCTCCTTCCACCTATCCTTGGATTCAACTCAAGAAAATCCAGGTTTTTAAAGGGTTGACACCTTCACATTGAAAGACTTCTTTTGGTGAAGGGTACATTTTACTGTGTGTGTGTGTGTGTGTGTGTGTGTGTGTGTGGGTAGGGACACGTGGGAATGGAAACTTTTCAAGGATTTGTTGTATTATTTATATCTTTCTGCTCACATATATAGGTTCAAGTGATGTGCCTTCTAGTATTTGCTCAAATTGATAGAATTGCCTCCCCCGCCATAGAAACATGGATGAGACAGAAACATCAGTTGGCTGCCTCCTGCCCCCTACTGGGGATCGAGCCCACAACCTGGGTGTGTACCCTGACCTGGAATCCAACCAGCAACCTCTTGGTGCATGGGATGATGCTCAACCTATCCACTGGGCCCCTCCTTGTTTTTTTTTTAGTTGGTGGATGCACATCAGTTGTTGGATGGCTGCCAGTGCCTGTGGGTGCCCTGTTCTTCATCCTATGTCAGTGTTTTATCATTTTTCCACTTGGGTGCCAACAACTGAGTGTGGTTCATATGGTCTGTGCCCCCATTCTCTATTTTTACAGCAGAGGATGAAGTCAGTTACAAAGGTGTTTTTCCTTGGTCCATTGAAGACTCACTGAGTTAACGGAAGATCATGAACAAATTTCTCTTTTCAGGGAGTGATGAACTCTGGAGGTCAAAGAATAATGTTTGTATGTGGTTACTCACCATATTGAGAAAAGTTAATTTTTCTTACTGGAGATATTTTTCTAAAACAATCAACTGAGAGGACACATCCAGCACTGTGGCTGTTGCCTCCTTTACCCATGTGACTTTGCTGGGTGAGTCATTCTGCATTGTTTATCCAGAATCCACAGCTTTTATGCTGTCCTTCAAATAATAATGTACTTTGTTACACCTGGTAGAAGCTTACTAGTCACAAACTGAATTATTTAGGGGATTTTTGAAAAACCAATTTAGACACCTTTTATCTCACAAACTTAAGATCAAGGCTTATGATTCTAAGGCTTATGATATTGTAAGACTGTGGCAATATATAGACTTGTGCAATGTCATTTTGACAGGTGATGACGGAAAATGAAAGCATATCTACAACCACATTTCTTCAATGTGATAAGTTCCTAGGGCATTCAGGGATTATTATTTTTAAAATGTGCTTGATGCCTGCCACTTTGCTACCAAAAATAAGCTAGTCTGAGGGGGCTAAGTGTTAGAGGACATTCCTGGCAACTATTTCATCTGGGACCATTTGTGACAGCTTTCTTGACTTCTTTTTTACTACTTTCTTTCTCTGTTTTCCAACCAAACCAATTTCTGACAAAAAGCTGGGGCATTTTTTTTTTTAAAAAAAACAAATATATTTTTACTGCCAAAATGTATAATGGAAAAATTATTAATTTAAGCTGGTAGTTTATCTCGACCATTTCAGAACATCTAACTGTTAACAGGAGTCAGCGCCGTCAAACACATGTACTGCAATACTGTTTTAGGAAGCAGGAGAGAAGATTGGGGGGCGGGGGGGAAGGATCATTATGTTTGAGCCAGAAAATCTGCAGTCAGGGAGCTGAAAAGTTCTTTGTTAATAGGCCTATGACCTTGAACAAGTTACTTTGCCTATCTGGGTCTTCAGCTGTTCCATGCGGCCAAAAATGACTGTCCAATGCGAGTCTGTTGTGGCCAAGACCTTAAAAGTGTTTCACTGGTGAAAGTCATCATTGATTTGGAGAGTCACACTGATAAGACACACTGCAGCACACAAATCCAATGCTTTGTGATTTTACACTGTACCGATGTGCAAACTAGTGGATGTGCACGGGCTTCATCTAGTTCCCTGCAGGTAAAGGAGTTTATTTTCAGAAAAGAACAGAGGGGACTGTGGCTCTGCGGGAAGATGAGCCCCAGGGGGGTTTTTCGGAGTGGACTTGCAGAGAAACTGGCTTCGGGGTGAGTAAAACTGAGATCCGAGGTTGCAGACACTTTAAGGGAGGGGAGGTGTCATTTGAGTCTTTTACACAACAAGGATAACAGTGACCACCCGCCACAGGACGTGGCACTAGGAGGAACCACTCCAGGGAATGACCCAAGATACTTACAATGTCACCAAGATATTTACAAATAAATCCGGATACTCACTGCAGCAGGGAGGGCGGCGAAGAGGACAGAGGGAGGACACGGGTTCCAGAGACTTCTGCTTTTAGGACTCTGGTGGCACAGTGAGCGTGCCCTTGAGGAAGAGGGTTGGGAGGGCAGGGAGCAGTCCACGGGATGAGGCCGTTACCGCCCCCCGGTTCCACGCGCCCTTTTCCCGCGCCCCCGGCTCAGCGGGCTCGGGCGCACCCAGGGTACCC